GCCCCTCTTGATGAATTTGGTATGTACCTTGATTATTTACCATTATAATGTATATTAAAATCTTATATAGTATTAACAACATATTGCATTTGCTTTGTCATAGGAAATATTCATCAACCCAAATGGGGTCATCTAAAGAAACTCCATGAATCCCTTAAAGTGATACAGAATGCTCTTCTCTTTGGAGACAAGAAAAACACAACCCTTGGCGATAAAATCACTGTATATGATAAATATCAACCCTTAATTACGTTTAATTTTTCTTTATCTGATAATACTTGTGGTTAATGTATAATTTTTTTTTTTAAATTTTAGGTAACAAAATTCTCAGGTAACAATGTCACCTCTGCTTGTTTCTTGAGTAATGAAGGCAACTCAACGGATGCAACCTTCGATTACGAAGGCAAAAGTTACTTTTTGCCAGCTTGGTCTGTTAGTATTCTTGCTGATTGCAAAGAAGAAATTTACAACACTGCCAAGGTTATTATTTTTTGGGTCAAATGTGAACTATTTTTTTGGAAAAAGAATTAATTCAGAATTTAAAAGATTTTTCTGGTATTTTCAGGTGGATACTCAAACTACTGTCAAGGTTAAGAAACCTAACTTGGCTGAGGATGAGTCTAAATTGACATGGAGTTGGGCTCCTGAAATCTTAACAAATCAAGTTAAAGGTAAAAATCCATCGCTCAAAGCAAATAAACTCTTGGAACAGGTTAAAACTACTGCAGATGCCAGTGATTATCTGTGGTACATTACCAGGTATTTTTCGTTACAAAATATGTATAATATTTTTTTCTGTAGAAAATATAGGCTCACATTGAATATTTCTATGGTTACAGTGTTGATAATCTTCAAGAAGGCAAAATGACTCTTCGTGTTAATACAACTGGCCATGGTCTTTATGTTTTCGTTAATGGAGCACTCATTGGTAAGTTTCTCTTTTAATCTCTTCCAATGTTTAATATACTAAGATTTTTGGTGCTAATTCTTTTATCTTAACTAATAGGATCTCAATATGCTCTGAACGATCACTTTAGTTTCATCTTTGAGAGCACTATTGATGTCAAGGGTGGAACAAATGTCATTGCTTTGCTTAGTGCAACTGTGGGACTAAAGGTAGGTAGTTTGTAAATAATTGATGGTACTTATTTTTCATGTAATAATTATTACTTTGTTTAATGTTATAATTTTATTTTCTCAGAATTATGGTTCGTTTTACGAGACTACACCAGTTGGGATATCTGGTCCCGTGCAATTGATTGCAGGAAACACAGCCATAGATTTATCAAATAACCAATGGTCTTACAAGGTATAAGAAAGAAATTTTATGATACCATCATTTATACTTAAATTTTGTGTGATTTTCACTTTTTTTTTGTAATATTCAGATTGGGATCGACGGCTTAGGAAAGCAATTGCACCTCAAAAACCAACATATCAAATGGCATTCACGAACAGTTCCTACAAAGAGACCCTTCACTTGGTACAAGGTAACATTCTAGAACTCTAGCGTTCTTTTTTTTTCTGGACATTGTTAATATTTCCCTGTGAAATTTATGTTTCTGTATTTTGATCAGACAAACTTCGAAGCTCCATTGGGCTCGGACCCTGTTGTTGTAGACTTGCAAGGGATGGGAAAAGGAATGGCGTGGGTGAATGGAGAAAATATTGGCCGATATTGGCCAAAGATTACTGCCACTTCGAAGAATTGCACAGCGTGTGACTATAGAGGTGAATTCACTGCGGATCGTAGTTGTAACACCGGCTGCAACGAGCCTGGTCAGAGATGGTAGGCTAAAAATATTGAATTATTGTCGATACGTATTTTGTTATAATATACATGTTGAATATGTTATTCATATATTTATTGCAAAATTGACAGGTATCATGTCCCAAGAGAGTATCTGAAACCTGGAAAGACAAACACATTAATATTGTTCGAAGAATTTGGTGGCAATCCGTCCTCTATTAATTTCCAAACAGTCGTAGTTGGAACTATATGTGCTACTGTAAATGAGAAGGAGACCCTTAATCTGACTTGCGAAGGCGGGAAAATCTCTGGAATCAACTTTGCCGGTTTCGGAAATCCTCAAGGAACCTGTCAAGCCTTCACCAAAGGAACCTGTGAGGCTCCTGGAACTCTGGAAAAAGTTAAGCAGGTAAATTTCCAGACTTCTGTTCTTTTGGCATTTCAATGTATTGGACGAAAGTTTAACCTGTAAGCTTTCTTTTCCGGTTTATTTTCAGGAATGTATTGGCAAATTATCGTGCTCGATATTGGCTGACGAGGGTTTGCTTGGAGCTTGCACTCCCTGTGGAAATGTTACCAAGAAACTTGCAGTGCAGGCAACTTGTAGCTAGTTAATTTTGTTATGGTTAGGTTTTCTTTTTCTTCTTTGTGAATGATTTAGGAGGCAGTTTTTAGATGTTGATGAGCAATGGACTTGATTAGTTGTGAAGATCTATATGAATAAAGTAATGGTATTGTCTTGGTTCTGTCATTTTATAATGTGCTGTGAAAATGAAAGCACTTGCTTCTCCTTTTTCATCAAGTTTTACTAGCTCTTCCATTTTACTAGATCTTTCTGAGGTTGCAAATAGCTACAATGCTTTATCTCTATATAAAATAAAACAAACAAGTATACAAGCAACACCAGAAAGAAATAACATATCAAATAAAACATTATAAGATAGTGATGATTGTACACAAGAGTTATACAACTCTTGTACTCCTATACACGAAAAAAGTGGAACCCTTTTTTATAAACCGGAAAAGAAAATTATGGGTTGCAATTGGACTCCTCATCATTATGTCTAGGTACGACTCTTGTAGTATACTTATCATATGATGCACAAGACTTCAAAAAAAGACGAGCTTTTTCAATAGTAGTCCAAAAATCTTTCATATTTTGAAATTAGTCCTCGAAATCTTTCATAGTTGAAACTAGTTCCCCAAACCTTTCGAAATTAGCCCCCCATATTCGATAAAGTTGAAGAAATATTCCATCCATATCAAATTGCTAACTAGGGGTGCTAATTTAAGAATAGTTAAAAATTTTGGGGGATTAATTGTCAAATCGCAATGATTTGGAGGAATAGTATCAAAATATTAAAGCTTTGAGGGACTACTATGGA